GCTTAAGTTTGACTCGTTTATTTAATGAAGATTAAGTTTTATTTGTTTGGCTTAATGATTATGTGATTTTATGTCTATTGCCTTTGGTGTTTAATAATTGACTAGAAATGTTATTGACTTTAGTCATTGATATATATTTAAAGAAATCCTACTGAAACAAAAGTTAGTAACTATCTGCCCATACAAATCTATTTACTAAATGACTAAATCCTTACCACTAATTAGCCAAATTACAAAGAAAGTGAGAAACATTTCAACTTTTATTAATAGAGATAAAGAGATTTACAAAAACGATGAACAAATTATTATAAAAAATTTAGAAATCAATATTACTTTTTTTTACAAAGATGATTTATGATAAACTATCATTTGCTATTACATTTTTATATATTTCATTTTGAAGAATTAAAATGTCTTGTTTATACTATATTTACTTTATATTATAATTTATTTTGCATAAAAAATACTTTATATTATAATTTTCGATGTTGTGAAATCCGAGTCAGACATCAAGCCGGTTGATTTAAAATATAATTAATAATTTTTATGTATAAATATATAATGATATACAAATGTAAAATTTTATATAATTAATATTTATATAACTATATTGAAATAACATTTCTTCAATTTTTTTTGTACTGGAGTTAAAGATAAGATTAGAGTAATGTTTCATTTTTTAAAATTTTAAGTGAATTGCACAGTTCATTTCCCTAATTATTCTGGTTTAACCGGGTTTAGCATGGTCAAACTAGAATTTCTCTAGTTCAAAGCGGTTCAACCACTCTTTCGATTAAGAGTGCAAGCCAAAACCATTTTTAAGTCCGGTCAGATCATCCAATTCAGATTAAAATTATACGTGAAAAGCATAATATTTATTGTAATATCCTATTTAAGATGTTAGATGTAGTGAATTCGATTATTGATGGTAGTTAACTAAGATGTATGATTTTATTTTATTTTTATTAAAATGAAAAATATTAAAGACAAGAAAATTACTACATAAATTTATTAGTTACAATTCATATAATCTACTCACAATAGTAATAAAAAAAAGAAGAGGGAGAGGAATACTACACAAAACAACGCTGAAAATATAAAAAATAAAAATAAAAATAGAAAAAGAAAAAAAGGAAAGGAGAGAGAAAGAGAGAAAACACATAGCCATAGTCGAAGCTTCGAAGATTCGGAAGCTGAAAGTGTCGTTAAGGTTCAACATTTCTACGCAAATTCGTTAACTACGCTAAAGGTTAGAGCTTTAATGAATGCATCATAAACCCAACTTCAATTAAAGCTTTAGTCTTTGCTCTTCATTCCAATCGCAATTTCAAAAAATTTGCTCTTTTTTCTGTTCAATTTTGTCCAACTCAGTAATCTCTTCGGGATTCTAAGTTCGAATTTGAAGAAACAATAAGGGTTTTCACAATGGTGCAAGGGTTTGGTGATTCAATATTAGGGTTTTGATCTGCTATTGTAGAATTCGTTTAATTAAATTTGGTGAGTTTTATTTCTAGGGTTTTGGTTTTGTGAAGTTGAGATTTTTGGCTTTGCATTGCTTAGGGTCATTTGCTGAATGAAATTGGGGGATAAGGGTAGCAATATTCAGGTTAAAAATTGCAACTTTTGAACTTATGCATCTGGTTACTTCCATATGCAAAGTTTGAGATAGTTTGATTTTGGATTTAATTAATTATATGATATGAGGGTGGGGAAGTTTTTTGGTTTTTTGGATACAGATAACTGTTATTTGAGGTTAGAACTGGGGTGAGTTTTTGATTGATTTGTTGGGCGGTTTACGAATCGTTCTGTTGAGAAATGCAACCGCGGCGGAGCTCAAGAATTGATTTGGATGAATTAAAAGCACATATTGTAAAGAAGCTTGGACCTGATAAGGCAAAGCGGTACTTTTATTATGTGAACCGGTTTCTAAGTCAGAGGATGACCAAGACTGAATTTGTCAAGTCATGTTATCGGGTACTTGGGAGGGAGAACCTTCTGTTACACAATCATTTTATAAGGTCAGTTTTGAAGAATGTCTGCCAAGCCAAGACCCCACCACCACTAGTTCAGCCATCGTGTCCTCTGAAATCTGGAGCACGTGTTACTAACACATCTCCTCGTAGAGAAGATGGATATGAACAGAGTGTCTCTAACTTCCTAAATCAAAACGCTCCTGTTTGGTCAAATGGGGTTTTGCCGGTCTCCCCACGTAAGGCAAGGTCAGGAATGCGTGATCGGAAGCTTAAAGATAGACCAAGCCTTCTTGGACCCAATGGGAAAGTTGATCCGGTTGCTCATCAACCCACACCTATGGAAGACAATAGTGGTAGTAAGATTGACATGGAGAATGGAACTCTTGAACCATGTGATTATCAGAGACCAATACAGCATCTTCAACCAGTAGCTGAGCAGCTGCATGAGAATGAATTGGCGGATGCCGTTCAAAGGCCTACAAAAAGACCAAGAATATATGTTGAAGGGCCAACCGAAATATCGATTATCGAAAATGGCGAAGCGGTGGAGCAATTAAACCACCTCAGTTTCTCTAGAAGTCCCCTGATAGCACCACTTGGGATCCCGTACTGCTCCGCAAGTGTGGGTGGGGCCCACAAAGCAATGCCGGTGAGTAGTAGTAGTAGTAGTGATTATGTTAGTTGTTGTGACTGTGGTAGGTTGTCTGATACTGTTACATTGAGAAGCCGCATGGAGCAGATTGCTATAGTACAGGGTCTTGGAGGTGTTTCTATGGAATGTGCGAATATGTTGAATATCGTGTTGGATGTGTACTTGAAACGGTTGATCAGGTCTTGTGTTGATTTAGTGGCAGCTAGATCTACAAATGAGCCGAGGGAGCCCCCTTTCTCAAAGCAGCAGATTCAGGGTAAGGTCGTCGATGGCATGTGGCCGAATAATCATTTACATGTGCATAGTGCTGTTGAGGCAGAAGAACCTGAGCATGAACACATACCACCACGCTCAGTATCTTTGCACGATTTTAAAGTTGCCATGGAGCTAAATCCACAGCAACTTGGAGAAGATTGGCCACTACTGTTAGAAAAAATTTCCATGCAATCCTTTGAGGAATAACACGTCTACGAAAACTTTTATTCGTAAGCAAAATTTGGGTGTATTTATTCTGGTTCTGGTGGCTAGACAATGGTTCTTTATCATTGGCGCACTTAGTTCTGTTCTTATTACCATGATGAACCAGATTTCATGACCCCAAATGTTGAGTTTCTAGCCCTCCCAGGATCATCAAATACTGGTTTTGAGCTTCGAAATGTTTTCTCTCTGCTATTTACAGGGCTAGGATGCATCAAATGTTCTTTTAACCGCGACCAATGGTACTATCAAATCAAGCCCAGAATCGGTTACAATGTTGTATTTTTAACATCGATGTCGGCACATGTATAAGCCAAATGAGAAAGGAAACTCAGTTTTGCAGGGACATGGTTGTGTAGCTGGGATCAAGGAACACATGTATAAGAAGAGCAGAGAGTTTTTCTGTATGTATTTTTAGAATATGAGGATTGATTAAATTCAATATCAATAACACATTAAAATCCAGTGAGATTTTTAGTTTTCCATGCAACCAAATTTCCTCAATATCAATCAATACCTGAACCAGTTTTTCACTTTATTGTTTTTAGTTTTTCATCATATAGATCTCTTATTTAACTCCTTCAGTGCAAACTAATTTTGGTGACAGTAAATGAATTTCTCTAATTATGATAGATTATTAAATTTTGACATAAATTGCATCAGTTTAATACACATAAACCTCTCTTTTTTGTGAATGAAATTTGTGAAATCTTAACTATTTGGCATTTCATTAGTTTTATAACTTGTGCCAACTGTTATAAGGAATTTTACTACTACTGGAATTGAAAGCAGAGTAAGCCTAGACTGTATGAGTAATCTTATCTATGAAGAAGACTAAGAATTTGTTGTGCAAGATATTTCCTAATCCATCTATTCTTTAAACAATCAAAAAATGATTCTAAGTATCTATCTCATAGTTCAGTTGATTCTGGGAGGGTAACGAAGGTAAGAGATGTAATTATGAAATACATTTGTGAGATAATTATGAAGTCTTCTATTTAAGAATTTTTATCGGTTATCAAACCGATCAGGGTATTGATATAATAGTATAACGGTTCAACTAATGGTTCACTAATTAAAATGTATATCAGTGAAGTTATATATATATATATATATAATATTAACATTAATATTAAAAAATTAATAAAAAACAATAATTTTTTTATTTCATTAAAAATTAATTTTAAATAAAAAATCAGTCAGTATGGCCAGTTTTGACCGATATGATTCCATAACCGGTATAAATGTTGTACCGTACCAATATTGAGACTGATTTATTGATTTTGTCAATTGAACTGATCAACACTAACCGATTTTTATAACACTACTTGAGATTTAATTGTAAAAGAAAGAGGTTTCTTAACTGAATGGCCATTATTTTGAAGGATTGTTGAAAACAATGTAAACTTGAAGCAAATGAAAATATCTTAGATAAGGTATAAAGTTTTTTCATGTTCTAACCTTAGTATAGCAATGAAAACTGAACTTGTGGGTATCCGCCTAAACCCAACCCAAATTTAATGGGGAAAACCCAATGTTATTGGATTCGGGTTTTACCCGAGTTCAAATTTCGGGTTCGGGTTTGATATTGTTAATACCCTACCCCGAACCCGATTAATATATGTAAAATTCTAAAATTATATATGAATACATATATATATATATATATATATATATATATATAAATGTATATATATATATATATTTGAGATATATATATATATATATAAAAAAGCTAAATATATGTTTCATTCGGGGGGTTTCGGGTTCGGGTTACCCAAAATCTGACGGGTTCGGGGAAAATATTATTATTTTCAACCCGCTTAATTCGGGTTCGGGTTTTGGATTTCGAATTTGGGATTGGGTAAGTACAAGCTCGACCCGACCCGCCAGTTGCCATTCCTGCTTAGTCACAATAACATTGATGAAATCTGTACTTGTGTGTAACCCAAAGCATTTTATCTGCAACAAGGAGCATGAGTTTACTCCTTCAAGGAGAATGTTGGTAAATTTATATAAAGCCTAAACCAAAAAAAGTCATAAAACATAAAGAAATGGCTGAAGGTTGTACTTGATGAGGGACTTAATTGTAAACATTACACACTAACTCATTTCTTTTTTTGTACTAGTAATGGTATCTCATCACTCTATGAGTAAGGAACTAATCTCCTTTAGTGTGTGTGGTTGTCTCTCCCAACGATTATTGTTTGTAAGAATCAAACTCTTAACTTTTTAGTTATTCTCGGAATGTAATTTGGTTTTACACTATGAGACCAACACATTGTTGGTATCCATTTCTCTCTATGTGACAAGGAGTTTGTCACCAAAGACATTGAGGGTCACTATAAAGGGTATTAATCCTAAGTTTTGATGAAAACATACATAAGGATTTAATTAAGAGTAAATTACATAGACCTCCCCTAAGTTTTAATGAAATTACACGAACCACCCTTTTTTTTTGCACCTACACAAATCACCCCTCCTTTTTTGCACCTACACAAACCTCCCCTTATTTATATATGCACGTTACACAAACTACCCCTGCCGTTAGTTGACCGTTAAATATTAGTGTCATGTGCATATCACATGTGATTTAATAAAATACTATGACAAAAATACCCTTTCAGACTTCATATAAATTTGTTTCAATATAATGCTCACAACTTGTTTGATAAAATGCTTGAAAGAATTATAGTCAATATTAATCTAATATATATTAATATGGGAGAATAGCAATGGTGGTGGTACTTTCATTTCTAGTTTTGTGGATAAGAAAGTTCAAACAAAAGAAGAAAATGAAACAGATGGAGAATGTTGATGTTGGAGAACCTCTTCATATGACTTCTGTTGGAGAATGGAGATACAAAAGCACCTGCTGCAACTATAACAAGAACACAACCAATCCTTGAGCCCAAACATGCATATTGACACATTATTTTTTGTTCACAATCTTCAGTTTTCAAGCTAATTAAATGTATTCAGAAATTCTTCTACGATTCTTGTGGCAATATTGGGAAATGATGAACGGAGAAAGTTAAAAGATTTATGAACTTAATTTCCTAATAAACATTTCTTTTTTATTCTTTACTATGTTAAACATGACACAAACAGAATATAATAGAAAATAAAAAAACATAAAAGATGAGAATAGTCAATTGCCAATTTTGATTTTTTTGAACCATAGTTTAAGGAATATGATTTACTGTGTTAAAAGAAAAGAGAAGAATTGTGCTTTTGAAATCAATGGTAGTTTAGTATTTCACTCATCACTTTAACTTTTGGTTTAGCAATATTATATGAAGGGGAGGTATGTGTAACTACAAAAGGGGAGGGGTAGTATGTGTAATTTCATTAAAACTGATGGGAGGTCCGTGTAATTTACTCTTTAATTAACCTTATGTTAAAGTTGTTTTTGGATATTAAAAAGTTTTATCTACTTTATTATTTTTTATAGGCTAAACATTTAACCGGCCATGAGAAATTGTATAATTATTGGGGTTTGAACTCATACTTTATGTCTTATGACTCAATCAATTGAATAACCTCATAGTTGATTTGAGCATTGTATTGCAAAACAGGGTTTTACATAAGGCGAAGGCTAATATACGAACTATTAGAAAGTTCGCTTCGGTACAAACTGAGTTTTAACCGTTAGATGAAAAAAATGTATCACCAGTTACATGTTGATTACCTTGCAGAACTCGGTATGGCTGGATGCGGGTTTAGTGTAGAAGTCGGTTTGGTAGGTATCCACTTTAATATTGGAAGAAGCTTTGGGGTACCGACTTCTATATAGAAATCGGTTTAGAACATGGCATAATCATTAAATGAAGAAGTATTTGCTAGCACCGACTTCTATAAGTCGGTTTAGGCAATGTTAACATCAACATTCCAGCACATTTGGTAAGTTAAGCAACTTGTAGTATGTGGAGTGGTTTTGAATCTCATTCCTAACGTTTTTATGTCATTTAAAAAAAACTTTTCTAAATATTTTCTTAACTTTTCTTAACAAAAAAAACTTCTCAAATATGATTTATAAATAAGCCTAGAGGGGTGGCTTTCTTGATATTCATGAAAAACTTTTAAATATCATGCAAAAACCTAGAGGGGTGGCTTTCTTAATATTAAAAAAAATTGTTTAATATTCATGAAAAACCTAGAGGGGTGGCTTTCTTAATATTAAAAAAAATTGTTTAATATTCATGAAAAACTCATAAATATCATATGTTAACGTTTTCGCTAGTACCCACTCCTAGGCAATGTTAACGTTTTGTAGGTACCGACTTTTAGTGTTTTTTAAATATCAAGAAAGCCACCCTTCTAAGTTTATTTATAAATCATATTTGAGAAGTTTTTTTTGTTAAGAAAATATTTAGAATTTTTTTTAAATGACATAAAAACGTTAGGAATGGGATTCGAAACAAGATGTTTAACTTACCAAATGTGTTGAAGTGTTGATGTTAACATTGTCTAAACTGACTTCTATATAGAAGCCGGTACAAGCAAACACTTTTTCATTTAATGATTATGTCATGTCCTAAATCGACTTCTATATAGAAGTCGGTACCCCCCAAAGCTTCTTCCAATATTGAAGTGGGTACCCACCAAACCGACTTCTACACTAAACCCACATCTAGCCATACCGACTTCTGCACGGTAATCAACAGGTAATCGGTGATACATTTTTTCATCCAACTGTTAAAACTCAGTTTGCACCGAAGAGAACTTTCTTATAATTCGTATATTAGCCTTCACCTTTACATAATCTTACACTACAAAATTATGAGTTGTATAATGGGTTTATGTCAATTTGGACACTATAGATTTCTTCATAAATGGACACTTGAGCGATTCAGTGTACGAAATTCTCATTTAATAGGGCAGGATCTTAAAGATTCTCATTTAGTAGGGCAGGATCTTAAAGATTCTCATTTAATAAGGCAATGTAAAATTTATTAGTAAATGTCTGTGATAATCTTAGTTCATTAAAAAAAGCATGTCATGATTATAATCATCTTAATTAACTTAGCTAAGTTAAGAGGGGCATTATTATTTTATTTTAGAATATACTCCTCAAAACTTTGGCTAGTACCAATTTAGTTGATGAAAAATTAAAAAAAAATCCAAAAAAATTTAATGTTAGTCAAACTAATCTTTTTAACATCTTTTATATTCTCTTATAAGAAATATTTTGACTCACATTTATAATATTTAAGTATTAATTTGAATTTTTATTTTTTCAGGAAACAAATTGATACACATTAAAATTAAAATTATAAGATTAAAAGTAGGTATTATTTTATAATGATATAAAGCATATGGAATTAAATCTTAAAATAATGAAGTTCTAATTTATAACATATGCGAGATGTATAGACATGATGTTATGTAGGGGTGTGTGAACAAGGACACGTTTTACTATAACGTGTCATTCTTTCATTCATTTTTGATACTTTAGGAATTAGTATAATATCTTTAAATAGTTTTAATCAAAGTGGCTATCATATGCTCTTTGATATGATAAATTAATAATGAAAAAAGCTTTGCAAAACAACAACTATGGTTGCATGTCATTAGTGGGAAGTAAATACACAAGAATGTAATGTATGCACAAGTTGATTCTTTAGATCGGGTCGTTTAAATAAACATGTTAAACTTAAACCACGATTTATTTAATAAATCAAGTTTAAACTATATTATTTTTTAATAAATTAAGTTTGAACTTTAAATATGATCAATTTATTTAAGTTAAAGTCTCATGTTGAATATGAAAAGAGGATAAAAATGTTTTATAAATAAAAAAAGACCAATAAAACTATTACCTTAAAAATTTATTTCAAGATATGATATTTTACTCGTAATATTTCACTCTTCTTATACCTCAATAACAATGGAACTGTGGTAATCAGATACTTAGAATTGGATCAAACAAATTATTATACTAAGAACTACCTTTGTTCTAAGAAAACATTGGAGGAATCTGAACAACACAAAAAAAGTAAAAAAAATAGAGTGACACTACAATTTGTGTGGGACCACACTACTTTTGTGATAAATTTAAGATGCACTTTGAATAGTGACGTGGCTTCACCAATCTAAGGTGCTTCCACCGCAACCTCTTCACACAAATTAATGTCTGCATTATAGTGAGTGAGTGAGTGCTTTGTCACCTATTCACAAAATACAAAATCACTTTTTCAAATAAAGCATTTAATTTTTCATTTCCACTAAATTTAACCCACTACCATTCTTAACCATAAATAACTAAATAATCAAAATAAATACAAATATTTTTCATTTCAGTTTCATTCACTCCAATGTAGTAACATATTTTTTTAGCATATTCTTAACTCTTATGTAAATAAATACATATTTATTGATTTGAACCAATAATGTAAATACAAAAATTGGAATATTAATAGCTTTCATCCAATTTTCTTATACAATTGTGTGATACTTGCTATCAGTTTTCTAATTATAATATAAAGTACTGATACAGTGCATTATATTCTTAAAAATGTGGAAACTCCCTAAATAAAAAACTATAGGACTATTATAAAATATAGTAAAAAAATGTGTTGTTATGATATTTTAATATTTCATCTCAAAACCAATTGACAATAAGAATAGTAGTCCAACAGTATTTAAAGCATTCCCGAGACAATGAGGTAGGCGGTGTGAGACTAACTTCCCAACATGCCCTACATAAGTTTGTCGAATTAGGCGAATGATTATCTTTAACCCACAACTAAATGAAATCTTTTGACCCATGATAACAGGAAAGAAGTTGGACCATGACTCTGATACTATGTTAAGGTTTCATCTCAAAACAAATTAACAATGAAAAAAATAGCTCAACAGGTATTTAAGTCATTCACGAGACAATGAGATATACTACTTACTTCGGAGCATAATTGTTACACTATTTAAGGATAAGGGTTATAATAATTGTTGAGACACTAGAAACAGTGCAAGAAGAAAATGAGTTACCATCAAACTTTCATTTTCATTGCTAACTTTCTTGTTCTTCTGCAGTTCATATCTACTACTTGTAATGCTCAACTTCATGTTGATCATTACAGAAACACATGCCCACATGTTGAATCAATTGTACGTTCTGCAGTTCAGAAGAAATTTCAGCAAACATTTGTTACAGCACCTTCTACACTCAGACTTTTCTTCCATGATTGTTTTGTCAGGGTCAGCATATATATATATATATATAGTTATATAGTTATATAGTTATGAATCATATGTTAAACTTTGCATGCATGTTATTAACACATTCTGTTAATGTATTTGTATAAAGGGGTGTGATGCTTCTGTGATACTAGCTTCAAGAAATGGGAGTAGAGAGAAGGATAATCCTATAAATCTATCACTAGCTGGTGATGGATTTGACACTGTGATTAGAGCAAAAGCTGCTGTTGATAGTGTACCTGCCTGCAGAAATAAGGTTTCATGTGCTGACATTTTGGCAATGGCTGCTAGGGATGTCATAGCATTGGTAATTAAACATGACCCTCTTGCATTCAACAAACAAAATTATGTTCATTTCTAGATTTCGTGGTTTTAAATTGCGGTTACGGTTAAAATATCTTTCCTGATGGGAAAATATTGCGAGAAAATGTGGCCGATAAGATAACGATTGCAGTTATGATGTGGTTGTGGAAACTACTAAAATCACAATATTACTAAAATATGGAGGTCTTTGGTTCAAATCTTCGATAAAGATTTTGTTTTTGCAAATGTGAGGCTGCTTACATTTACCATCTCAAAATTCATAACTAAAATCGCAATATTGTGATCATATTTGCAATTTTAGAAGCTTCCGCAACCACATTTTAACCGCAATGGTGAGGTTGTTGACTTTAGACTTGGTTTCAAATCTGACTAAGTAGTTTTCTAAAGCTACATGCATATACTCTCCTTACACTCCACCAGTGATTTAAATTGCGAACCGCATCACCTGAGGCGGCTACAATATTGCGGTGGTCACCGTAACCGCATCACACCGCAA